GTGGGATTCCACGAGGTTAATTTTTTTTAGTGGAGGGTGCTAGAGGGACACTGGATGGAGGAGCTTCTCCTCCTGACTTCCATGGGCTGATTCCTCCCACTTCCAGAATGCTGGGTTGTTGTGGGAATCCCAGTGGGACTCTCTCCCCTGTTTGTTCCTGGATGGTGAAGAGTTGATTTCGTCCTGGGACCACCCAGTCAACATGACTTCAGTAACTCATTATTAATCTGTATAAGTTAACCAGAAAGAAGTTTCCTTTGCCAGTGGTCAGGAGAACTATTCTAGAGGCACTGACTTCTGGGGAAGGTTTCTTTGGGAACAATACACAAGGTACAGGCAGGGCATCTTATGCCATCACATAGGACATGATGGCTGAGGCGGAGTGGCCATCTCAAAACAATTCTCATGTTAAAAGTTCTCATGCTAAGGATGACATAATGGGAAGAAAAATAGAATCTGGATCCTCAGTGATATAGCTGAGCTGTTCGATTGCCCAACCCTACAACACCCCATCTTCAAACTTATTCTATGATTTTTTTGAAAATCCCACACTGTTGGGGGATTTTGAATTTTCTGATAAGTTGTAATCAAAACATCCTAACATTCCTCAAAATGAATTTAAGAAAAACTCCCCCCTCTATATCTGGGGACCTAGGAATCCTTTTTATGATTTTTATATTCTTCAGAAGGCTGAGACTTACCTCAGGTCCTTAGACTCCCGGTGCTGTTTAGGTGAAAAGAGTAAGAAACCATCTGAAAATCTTTACATACTATTATTAAGAGATGGGATCTAGAGATCAAAGAGGTGTAAAGAAATTTCTCTCCCACTTTTAGTTCTGTCTCTGCTTTCCATTTTGGTCAGTTTAATTTCTTAAACCACTAACAGCATTTATTCTCTGTAGCTTATAAAAAGTCAAGACAGCAAAGTAGTTTAAAGCACATGCTCTGGAGTTTCTTATTCACATCTATCTCCCCTACTTTGAGCAAATCACATGAGCTATATAACTTATAAGAACCCGTTTCCTACCTGTAAATAGAATCTGCTTCATAACGTTGTATCTGGAACATAGTTGTCTCTGATTGAGGTAAATTTAATTTATATTCATTAAAACCTCTGTCAATTTTACCTGGACAAGTTGCCTGCCAATAGAAAGACTTTGGGAATTTTCAGAAAGTCCAGAGAGGAGGGCCTCCCTGGTGGCACAAGGGGTCAAGCACAGCACTGTGAAAGCTATCCACAGTTTCTGCAGCATGAGTTCAATCCATGGCCAGGAAGCTATCCATATGGCACAGCAGACCTCTCCTGACTCACCTGTGGCTCCCCTCAGCAGTGGATTTCAGTCAGTCTGCCTGTTCTGTTCCCCACTCTGTCTCTGGTGAATCCTCTCACCCCTGCACCTCTGGCCTGTACCCCAGCTCTTGTATGCATAAATAAATAAATCTTTATTAAACAAACAAACAAACAAAAAAAAAAGATATCCTGACAGGATGAGAGGTTTGGAAGGAAGAGTTTTTCATTAGAAATATACTGACTTTTTTAGACTCTCATTAAGAATTCTAAGCATGGGCCTCCCTAGTGGCACAAGGGGTTAAGCACCACACTATGAAGCAATCCACAGCATCTGTAGCACGAGTTCGATCCCCAGCCGGCCAGGGAGCAACCCACATGGTGAGGCAGACCTCTCCTGTCTTGCCCTCTGCTCCCCTCAGCAGTATGTTTCAGTAGATCTGCCTGTTCTGCTCCCCACTATGTCTCTGGTGAATCCTCTCACACCCCACATCTCTAACCTGTACCCCAGCCCTTGTATGCAAAAAAGAAATAAATCTTTTTTAAAAAAAAATATTTTTAAGCATTATCTCATACCTTATGAAGGACACAGGAGAGATTAAGTCTCCTATCTAAAAGTTGGTGCTGACAGGAGCCTCTTTACCTTTGTAATGGAAAGGAGATTTTTGATAAGCCCTGCCAACCTGGCATAAGAGGGGCAATTTGAATGCTACCCAGAACTATCCCTTCTGGGTGGTATGTGTTTCACGTGATGTCTAAAGAAAAGCAAAAACAGAAAATTTTCATATACTTTGAAGAATAATGAGAAACATCAAAAAAGTTGGCTTTTCCATTTATTTGGCCTTGCCTTTGATTTTTTCCCCCAAGATCAAATAGGTACAGCACTGAAGATATGTTTATAAACTAATCCAAATAATTGCAAAAGAAAAGTTCTTTTGGAATGTGTTGAAGTACTTCATGCAGTAACAAAACATAAAAATTCAGTAAATCATGGAGGAATACTTCTATACATTCACTGTGTCATTCAGCCCTGGGATAGTTGGAAGTGCTTATTTGCAAATATATTTTCCTGGGTTTTCACATATCTCAATCCCAATTCTACATGATTTAAAATCTAAACATTATATAGATAATGCAACGTTTACACAGGGACTCCAAAAATCTATCTGTATGGCACTGACACTGCATCAAGTCATATTTTCTGGTAATTATGTGTAAACCTTGAATTTCTGAATTGTTTCCTTTAAGAATAATTGCCAGGTTTAGCAGGGCAAATGGTTTGACAAGGCAATAAAGCTTTGTGACTTTACAGCCCTGTGTTTAGTTTAAACAGTCACACCGTGCCATTTGGTGACCATTAGGCACACTAAGCCTGAGAGTCTCTGTCCTCGCCCCACTCCTGCTCCACACCCACCAACTATAAAAACCACTCTCAGAACATGAAGACAGATTTTGACGGGTGCTCCATTGTTCCCAGAGTCCTCCTCTCATTTTTAAAGATTCCACAGTGTATGGAAAGCAATGGAAGCAATCGCGTTTGCGGGTTAATTCCAGAAGTATGAGACAATCACAAGCAGAGACGGAGTCACAGAAACACCAACAGCACCTTTTTAACTCTCACAGTAAACCTTTAAGATTTATTCTGCACTAATTATTTAGTGTACAAGGTCATCTGTACCCCCTCACCTCCCCCCCCACACACATTTCTTTCTTTAATCATTAAATTTCTTCTTTAACTGGGGAGAAGACAGTTACATCTTTGGTATCTGCCTGAACTGCGAAGTAGTCTTTGAGAGGTTCCATGGACAATAAAACAGAGACATACAAACCAAGGTTCTTGTGTTTTCTCACCTTAAGGGAATCTGATATCTCAGCATGGATGTGTGTTATGCCATCTTCTTGCCCAAATCTCTTAAATTAAGAAGCTGCTTCAGAAAGTTATTTTGGTTGGTTGTTTTTTTTTTCCCTTTACACTTTGTCTACATCTGAAACATGCCTCAGAAAGAATGATGAGGTCTTGCTTAGGGAAAAATTGTTAGAACATAGCACAGAAGAATGGGCCAACCCAGTATTTACCTACTAGATTTCACCAGAAGGTCTCCAGTGTAGTGCTAGTGGCACTGTCTCCCTTGTAACCTAAGTTCCTTCCACAGGATTTGATTTGGATGCATGCAGGCTGTCTAGGATTTTTATGTGTCCTTTTATTTTTCTGATCATCTCTAAACTGTGCCCTTAAAAAGTAATAGCCTTTTAGAATCTCTAGAAAACTAAAATTGATTCTTCTCACCTTACACACATTTTCCTCCAAAACACACCAATCTTGTGGGTTTCTTTACATAAAATGAAACATAATCAGTCACTTTCAAATACACTTTAAAATATAAAATAAACCCAGTTTCCCCTAATAGTTACTACATCAGAAAGAAGCCTATTCATAGTGTGTAGATGGCTAATAAAGAAAATACCTACAAGATATTTTGCCTGTCCTGCCTGAGAGTGCCAAGACCTCCAATTTTTTTTTTTCCAAATTCTTTGTTAAACTAATTCTGTGTGATAGGCAAATATGTCCTCCACATGCCGGTGAATTAAAATTCAGCTTTCAGTGAATAAGATTAATTGCCTCTTCAGACAAAGCTGGATTTTCGCTCCTATTAGGGAAAGGGGAGGGGGAATCAAGGGGCAGGGTGCCAGCTAGACTGCAGTATTCAGTTACACGTGAAATGATTTGTAATTCTGAGTAATCACTTAGGACAAGCCCTTGCACCATTTTATCTATACATGACTCTAGGCCAAAGTCAATACTCATAGTAAAATAATGAGATGAAGCTAACTGAGCCCTTTTATTAATGCTCCAAGGAGCAAATCTGATGCTCGAGTTTCTCCCATTGAAAGTATCTACTTCTTCCTAAAAAATGAGCAAGTGGGTCAGGATAGCCAGTAGCAGCCAGGGTACCTGCTTCAGCAAAATCATAAATAACAGGCCCTTCCCGCCTCCCCCCTTTCTGTTTGTGCACCAAGCTTTACCAGCTGCAGGTGAAAGCACATGAATTTTGCATTACCTCCAGACTCATTAAAGAGATCTGGCTCTCTCCTAATAGTTTCCCCTGACTTGGGGGTGGGGGAGAGGGAGGAACACATACACAGAGCAGGATGAACCTTAAGAAACACAATGCACAGTACTTTTGCTTTCTCTTCCTCATCAGTCTTCTAAAGAAAATCAACCATTCTCGAAATGCACAGCTTGGTGACAGAGTCAGCACACAACTGTTAGGGAAATGAGATGGATAACCAGCTGTCCCGTTTCCTGGAGATGGGGCACAGGAAGGGAGGGGGTGCTGGGAAGGAGGAGGGAGACTGGGTGCAGGGAAACCCTTGTTTTTAGCCCCCCAATTTTATTTTCCCCTCTTGTCACCGCTAGTCAGGTAGCCAAGCTGGCCAGCAGATCTTAACATTAAATGCCACCCTCACTAAATACAGGCAATGTGTTTGTTGAAGGCCTAAAGATCTAGGAAATTTTCTAAACTTGGAGACGCACGCTAATTTATGTGGTGGGTAAAATTGTCTTTTATTGGAAAAACCCGACAGAATATTTTATTCCCCACAGAAAAATAAAAGGTCTGAACCAAATTTACTTACTCAAGCAAAATCTCCATACACAAGTATTCCCAAGGAAGACGACAGAGATATAACCAAAGGAAGGAAATAAACATACCTGCATTCCAATGCCAGATTTTTTGTGTTTTATTAGCGAGGTGACTCTTCTGTGTTACCCAGCATCTCCAAGCAAGGTTTTCTCATCTGTGAATGGAAAATAACACATTTATAGGCAAATTGAGAAGAGTAAAGTTTAATTCAACATCTAATGAATAAAGATGGTTACTGGCATCCCTCCCTCCCTGAGATCATTCATGTTATAGGGGGTAAAAAACATTGATATAAACAGACCACCTAGAGATTTTCAAGTAAATCACCCCTAACGTTCTGATTTGAGCTTTGGGTAGGTGACCCAAATAGCTTTTTTGAAATCAGCTTCCACTGATGGGCTCACTGGTAGAGATATATTAACAAATGTGAAATTTTCCTGCAAAAAAAGCTTATAGGATTTATGAACCAAATAATAAATCACGAATCACACAAAAGTTGAAGATTCAACTACCCATATAACGAGTGCATAACAAATTCACATTAATTCCATTTTTCTCAGCATTACCTGGGTTCACATACAGTGTGAACTTGAAAAAGTATTTTGAAAGTGGGTATTTCAGGACAGAGTTCCCATGACTTTTTAACACTGTCCTGAGAAAATACTTTCAATGGGAGAATTCTAGGTAAGCAACACAACACATTCCCATAAGCAGGCAGAGGAGTTTGCAGGCAGACAGGGAAGGAGCCTCTAGGCAAGAGAGAAAACATAGACAAAGTTACCAGCTCATAGGAAAACTTGGTATCAGACCTACCTGCATAAAGTTTGGCAGACCTGGAGGGCAGAGTAGGTGCAGTGGAAAAGACTGAGAGAGAAAAGCCATAAGCCAGACTCAAAACATGCTTAGAAGCACTTCTGAAGTATTTGCACCTGATCTGGAGTGCTCACAATTTAGCTTGGGAAAAAAAAAAAAAAAGAAAAGAATCACATTGGGGGCTTGTTAAGAATCCAGCACATAGATCCTATCACCATCAGCTCAAATTCTGAAAACCTGGTATGGTACCCCACCTGCTTTCTAACAAGCTCTCTAGGTGATTCTGATGGAAGGTGATACCCAAAACTCACTTGGAGAAACGCTGCTGTAGGACGCAGGGAATCAGATACGTGGTATAAGGGACACAGCTTCCTGAGGATAAACTGGAGGATACCAAGACAGGAGGAGGTGCGTAATGCAACTGGGGAGCTTGTTCACTGGGGAAGGAGGGAATGAGGAGACCACTGAACTAAAATAAGTGCCATTAGATAAGTATACCGGGGAGAGGTGTCAGAATGTAGTAAGACCTGTGGCTTACTACTTGAAGAAAGCTGGACTCTAGCATGGTTTCAAGTTTTTTGTTTTGAGTTCTGCTGTAGAGGATTAGGTCCGTTAAAACAGATTATATAGAAAGATGGATAATTTGGGCAGATAAATTTAATTTTGGATATGCAAGGTTTAGAAAGGTGGTACGGGTTTAGGGTCAGATAAGCTAGGGTTAAAGCCTAATTGTGCCCCTTTTTTTATGTGACATGAGCAAGTTGCTTGGTATCTCAGATGTAAATGTAGGGGGAGGAACTCAGGAATTTTGATGAGTAACTCCATGGATATATGCCTGTAGGGTAAATGGAAGTTGTCAAGGTTTTTTCCACCCTCCCGCCATTAGCATCAATGATTGACACCTGTGGTCTTACATGCATGCCTGATGGCAGCACCTGGTGTGTGGTGTGGGTGTGTATGAGTGGACACAACTGAGCTGAGCGACTCAGCCTATAAGGGTGGCACCACAGAGGTGCCACTGCAGAGGACCGGGAGGCAGGGTGCAGTAGAGACCATGAGAGAACTCCAGAGAGCCCAGAAAGGATGAAGATTCGCTGGGGGTTAGGAGGCCTGGCAGCCTCCTGGCCCCCAGGCCTCCCTGCTGGACCTGCACCTGGTTGCCTCACTAAAAATGATGTAGAAAGATCATTAAAAGCCTGAAAAATCCACTGGGGACTCCTCCTTTTCCTGTCTGCCCAGATCATAGAAAATCTGCTCCATGCATTGCTGGGCACTACAATGTCCTTCGCACAATGCCTGATAATGATTAAATAAATAATGATTAAATTGTTAGCATTTATTAATGCCATCATTAGCTAGATGAAAATACAAAGAGATGATTATCAAAACTTTATGACAGATAAGATCATCCAGAAAGAGAGAAATACTTGCAGGGACCAAGACTAACGGAATTGAGGGGGATACAAAAATTTTAGTTCATAGATGAACTCAGTAAAACTAAGATGTGGTCTCAGTAAAACTTAGAGAAAGGAAAAGTAGGAGATATTGTAGATCAAGTATATAGACCAGTTTACTATGGAGGAAGTTGCCAGCAGCCTCCCATGCTTCAGGAAGGTTCGGGAAAATAAAAACCGAAAAATGTCCACTGTATTTGATGGATGGGAAGACATTGGTGATCTTCATTAGAATGGGCAAAAGTATCTTCTTAAGAGGTTGAAGAATGAATGGCGGATGAGGGAACAACTTAAATGATTTATGATAGGAGAAACTATGTGATAGCAGGAAGAGTCAACAGATGAAAAAGGATTGGGTGTACTTTTTGTTTTTCAAGATTTTCATTTATTTATGCATATAAGAACTGGGGTACAGGCAAGAGGTGTGGGGGCAGGGTGAGAGGATTCACCAGAGACAGAGCGGGGAACAGAACAGGCAGACTGACCAAAATACACTGCTGAGGGGAGCAGCGAGACAAGAGAGGTCGGCTGCGCCATGTGGGTAGCTCCCTGGCCGGCCAAGGATGGAATTGGTGCCACAGAAGCAGCGGACAGCTTCATAGTGCTGTGCTTAACTCCTTGCACTACGAGGGAGGCCCTGGGGGTGTACTTTTTTTTAATGTGGGAGGGGCAAGAGCACACTTTCATGTTTGGAGAAGTGACCCAATGTAGAGGAAAATGGAATCAGTGATGAAGGAGAGTCTGAGGGGTCACAGAAAAGATGAAAAAAAGTCACAAGTGTATTTTAGTCTTGAACAATGGAGGGAAACATCTCTCGCTCTAGAAAGAAAGACTGAAAGAAGTGGTCAAAATTCCAGAGGCCCAAGGTAGTGGAAAATAAAGCTGAGTATATCCCTGCCAAAGCATATCAGGTTCCTAATGTTGGGATAAAATCTCTGGTGGACATAAGGAGGCTATACCGGGAGCTAGGTTAGGCACTAGAGGAGAGAGCTGAGAATTTTAAATAAGTGTTAGGAGACAAGGGAGTAGAACTAGGACTATAAAAGCCACCAAGCAGTGAGCTTATTTAGTTTTCTCCAGCTCTCTCTGAAGCACCAGTGATTTTAAGATAAAAAATGGATTGTGTGTTTAATTTAAATTTTACAGAGCAGGCAAGGTAATAAAAGGAGATGGTGTTGAAGAGAATGGAGTTAAAGTGATAAACCAAGAGAAGAAAATGAAGGCAGAGATAAGTTGACCCTCTAAAATGAGCACCCAAGGGTGTGGGGGGCTTAGTTAAGGGGGAGAACATATAAGAGAGGCAAAGGAATAAGAAAAATGGCAGTTGAGGTTTGAGGGACTAGAGTATAAATTAGGGCATATAATTTCAGAGATTGGGTAGTCTCTGGTGTTGATAAAATTATATGGATGGCCATGGACTGGGCTGACATTCAAAATATTCCATAACACTAGAGGTAGTTCAGGGTCTTGAGTTTCTCTACACAGGACTTAGAATCTGCCATTTAGTTGCTAAACCATGAAGAATTCAAGAGAAGTTCCTGGGGTGTGAGAGGCCTGGCATGCGGTGGGGGGGGGTGGGCAGAACATTTGGGCAGAATGTATTTAGAAAACCAATAAAACATATTTTACTATTTTAACAGTCAGTGTGCACTTGTTGCAACTTACGAGGAGGGAAGATGAAGATCATCAGCATAGAAGGTAAGAGAGGAGGCTTGGAGGTATCATTCACAGGAATGCGGAAATCATCCAAGGTGGTGAATAGAGTTGATACATAAAAATGTCTAGGGGAGCGCTTAATTCTTCACTGAATGCAGACCAGTGTTCCAGTGACTTACAGAAATCATGAATGAAGCAAAGATACAATGAGTATAATTTAATGCATGGCAATCCAAAAAAGACAGAAGTTTGCAAATAATGGTAGGAAATCAACAATCTGGAAGTTGACCTCTATTCTACTTAGCAATATGGAATCAAAAGACATGATTATAGATATTTGATTTTGTTTTCATCATTACTTTTCCTTCATTGCATGGGTCCAACTATGATATTTACAATCTGTCTCTCACTTGGGAATATCAGGTTATTGTTTGCGTCAGCTGCCATTTTATGTAACTTTTAACTCCGAGACTCTGTTTATATTATTTGACAATGTCTTGAGTGTTGTTATTCTTGGACACCCTTTATGAAGCATATTTATGAACCTGAAGGCTTTCTATTTGTCTTTCATTCAAAATGGGACCATTTGAACAGGAACTGTGCTAGGGTTTGGCAGTGATTGCTGGAACCCTGATTCCAAACACGTAGAATGCTTTCCATTGAATTCTTTTTTTCTTCCTCTTTATTTTTCTAGCCTCTTACTTCTTCTTGTCTTTTCCTTTCATTATCTCTTCCTTTACTCCCTATTTTAATCAATGGTCATTCTTATATATTCAGAAGTCACACAAATGCCCCCTTTCTCTCATCTCCAGATCTTAAAGTTGGGGGAAACAAAAACAGATACAAATAAAAATCTATTTATTTGGGCACCAGGACATTCAAGTGTATTTGCACTTTGTGTCTTGTAAACCCAAACTTTATTGTAAATCCCCAATTTTGCCACTAATAATTGTTCCCCTCAGTTTACCTATATGGAAAAATATCCATCATTTACCACACCATTCTCCTGAAATTGTAAGCAGTTTTATGTGTTGATTTTGTATCCTGCTACTTTAATAAACTGATTGATTAGTTTGATTAGTTTTTCTGCAGAGATTTTGGGGTTCTCCATGTATATTATCATACCATCTGTGAATAGTGATAGTTTGACTTCTTCCTTCTCTATTTGGATTCCTTGTATGTCTTTCTCTTGTCTTACCGCCCTGGCTAGGACTTCCAGTATTACATTGAAAAGCAGCGGTGAGAGTGGACATCCTTGTCTTGTTCCATGTAAGCAGTTGTAATAGTAAAAGCTACTATATTACAATGGAAGTAATTTTTTAAAGTCATAATAAAGCTGGTGTGACTGTAAGACAGGCATTATTAAAAGCATGCTACTCATACATCTAAGAAGTATGTTAAACACAGTTAAAATAATTTAAAATGTTTTATTGCAAATGAGAATACATATTTAAACCCTATTTTTCAGTAACAGTTAACTATTTGAAGGATTTGCTTATTTAGCAAAGGCCTTATTTTCTATAACACAGAGATAAAAGGAAGTCTTTGTATTTAGGCTTAAGTAAAACAATAAAATATAAAGATTTAGTCCATATGAATTTGCTAAATAAAACAACTAATCTTGATTTTTCACGTAAAATTACCCTTTAGGAAAAAGAGTATCTCAAAATCCTTCGTCGTCTTTTTCCTTTTTCCTCTGAATAACTCAGGCAGGAAACCTCAACATTTTATTTGATTATTTAAGAGTTCCCTTTGGAGTGGAAGTAGATAGAACTTGATATCACTATGTATAAATAAATAATTTGAAGGTTTCTATGTCCAGATAAAATTCTAAAATCAGATAAGTGGGTTTCATTTTATCTCTTGTTATTTTAGTGGTGGGAAGTCAAGTTTTCCCCTCCCCTCGATGGCCTATAGTTGCCCCAAGATTGCTCCCCCTGGGCTCTCCTGTGGCCTGAGGGATGTATTTAGGATCTCATCAGCCCTTTTAATCTGATTGCCATTCTGCATTTTAATCTCTGTTCCTACCTCCTTTCATCAATCAGGAAGGACTGTATCATCTCCCTTTCCTCTCCACCTCCTCAACCACAACAGCACAGGAGTTATAAATGCAGATTATAGATCTGCTTCATTATGAAAATGTGTTTGGTGACACTTCTCTTCTGACAGTCAACAATGTAGGATTCAGTAAACAAGCTTATAATTGTGTATGCCATTTAATAACGTGATGGTTGCTAGTGATGGCTGCTAGCTTTATAAAAGGTAAATGGAATTCATCAGTTCATTTCTTAATTTTTTTAAACAAATATTTGCTTAACACCTAAAATATGCCAGAAAGTGGGCTAGGCATTAAGAATACAAAGATGAATAAACATGTTCCTTGCCTTCAGAAACTCACAGTCAAGTGAAGAGACAGTCATACAAATAAATTATTCTAATAGAATATGACAAAAATAAGTAAATTATAAAATTCCATTTGGGTGCAGGGGATAGGTAAATAAGACTAAGAGGAAGGTCAGAAATGGCCAAGTTGGTGATGACACAAAAGATAATGTGAACAATTTTTGAAGGTAGAAAATGGAAAATATAAGGAAGCCATTTCAGGCAGAGATGCATACAAAAAGACTCAGAAAAAAAAACCAAAACCTTGATATTGGTACATGTCTGTCGATAATTTGGTCTATAAAAATGTGACGGTTGGCATGTTACTGAAATTGGACATATACATTCTTGTGAGGAAGTAAAGACATTTGTTTTTAGTATCAGAATTTCCTAACTTATTCTGTCCCTGAGTCCCATAGTAATGCAGGACACAGGTATGGCTCCTAGGGACTTATAAAACCCACATCAGCTTCATGAAGGCCTTCAGAGGCAGGTGATGTGATCATTCATTTCAAAGGATGGGAAGTGATGAAGTTTGTCACTGTTTAGCCCTAACATAGCATAGAAAAAAGTTGTAGGAATTTAGAGAAATGGAATACCTACCAGTTCATCACCAAAACTGTACCAACAAAATCAGTCTTTCTAAGACCTCCTTTTCTTTCTTTTTTTATGAATACTTCATTTATTTTTAATATATATTTTTTATTTTTTACATCATTGCTCATTTTTAAACAATGTTTGCTTCCCTCCACCCCCTCAGGTCTAGTCCCCATAGAGTTTCCTTCCCCAATGCGCCCGTGCACCATCACCTCAGCCCCCTGTGCTCCTCCCTGCCTCCCTCTGACCCCTCTCCCATCTCCTCCCCTGCAGGATGTCTCTGGTTTATAATTGTCCATTTTGCTTTGTTGTATTTTGTACTGTTATTATTTTTTTACACTGATGTCTTATTTGGGTCTTTTGGGGCATTTTCACTGTGACAATACTTTGAACTCAGGGAGAAATGCAGTCCTTATTATTTCATGCCTACCTACCAATCCCCTCAGGAATTTCCTTCCTTCCTTCAATAGCTCTTATTCTAAAGCCCTTCTTCAGAAAGACTTTCTTGCAAATATCCTCCATTCCTTGGGTTTTTCTTCCTCCCATCACATCTACTTTTAAAACCCCATGATGAATCCAACATTTTTTTTTTTTCAGGCTAGTGTCCATGTTGCTAGGCAATGCTAGACAAGAATCTTAAGACAGGGAAGGTTGGGATCCTCATTAACGGTCACCAGTCTCAAAAGGACATTCAGCACTGCAACTAAAGAGATCTACTGCTCATTATGACCACAGTGAATATCTAGTCCTTCTCCACGAACCTCCACCTGTCCTTTTTCCTTTCATTCTCAGCAGAACGCCTGATCATAATTCTCTAAGAATCTGGAAATCACAGAATGCTCTATTACCTTCTCATTGCTAAATCTACATTGATGATCATTATTTTTTTTATAACTTTTAGAGATGTATCATTGCGTTACATTTATAAGTTTCAGGTGCATCATTATAAATCAACATCTGTACATGCTACATTAGTTTCAACAGTGAAAGTCGACTCTGTCAGTCACCACACAATTGGTAATCATTTATTTATCTTCTTCCCTCATATTACAAATGAGAAATTGGTCCTTATTTCAAAATTCTGTCTTTTCAGTGTTTCAAGAAACTATGTTTTTAACAAAAATTTTCTCTTTCTCCCACCTTCTCTTACGAATCACTCGCCTCAGTATTCGTATACTGATGTTTTTAAAAAATGAGAATCAAAACAAAACTTTCCCTTGACTCTCCAGGCCTGCTCCAACTAGTATCTAATTTCTCAGCTTCCTTTCAAACCCAATTTCAACTTCATCACTTCCCAAGACAATCTTGTTTACACCCCCATCATGCCAGGTCTGTCTGGGCACATCAATGATTTATAACACCAAACCAGTTCTTGTATTACTCTGCATGTCAGCAGCATTCAAAATCCTTTCTCACTCCTTCCTTCCTGACATAGCCTCTTTGCTTCTGCAATAATACACTCTTCTGGTCCTGGTCCTTGATCTGTTCCTTTGGTTCTTCCTTTTCAGACCCAAAGCAGAGCCTGAGATTTATGTGTAAATAATTGCTTTGAGTGGTGATCCAAAGGGATGGGTATTAGGGACATGGTAGAGTAAGATAGACCAAGAGGATCAAGCAAAGAAGTGTGCCATCAAGGACAGCCTGGTAGGCAAAAGGGGTGAAGAGATTACTTCTTCGAGGGCTTCAGGAAGTGTACAGAATGCTCCCCTTAATTGTCCCAAAGACTTTGCTGTTTCTTCATTACCTGTTTTAATTTTTGTGTCCTAAGGGCCCTGTCCTGAGTCATCTTCTCATCTCTTCGATACCCTTTCCCAGTAATCTCACACATTCTCAGACTATAGGTGGCATCTAAACACTTCTAATTCCTACATTTTTATCTACCACATATATTGATATTCCAAATACATCTTTCAATGTGACATATGCAGTTAACCAGCTGCCTGGTTAACTGGGCAGCTCATGTTTAGAATCACCAAAATGATCTCTTGATCTTTCTCCTCTCCTATCTCAAATTTGCTGCTTCTTTAGTTTTCCATATCTAATAAAACACCTTCTTTTACTCACTTATACAAGCGGAAGTCTGGGATTCATTTGACACCCCTTTCTTCTCCCCACCTACAACTAATCCATCACCAAGTCTCTCAATTCTAAGGCCAAATTATATCTCAAATTTGTTTCCTTTCTATCATC